TCATAATAGTATGCAGGACTATCCTCAGCAGTGTCCCGAGAGAAGATAAATGATAAAGTCTGTGTGAGTTTATTTTGTAGAACATGTAAAATGCGTATCAAGTGCTGCTTTAACTATTTGAGTCCCCAAATGCAGCTTGTTTTATGTTCTTTGTAGACTTCCAATTACAGGGAATGATGTTGACCCAGCGCTCCAGCTGCTGAGCTCCAAAATCTATTGCCATGCTTGCTCAGAGGCTGCATTTCCTACTTCTTTAGGACAATTGCTCCCCAAAGACTGGGTGAGGTGGGGATACCAAGGAAATCCTATTCTGGGAACCTGGTACTCCTTTAATCCCCTTTAAAACACTCTTTGGACTGCAAGGGTGGCCAAGAATGCTTCTATACAAATTTACTTCCTTCTCATGCCATCTCCTTCCCCTCACAGGCATTTCCCTTAATAAAAATTTTTGCATACTGAGTTCTGTTTTGGTATCTGCTCCTCAGAGGATACCACTAACACACACTGATGAAAAGCACAGCTTTGCAAGGCACAAGACTATGTATTTGGTATGTTGCATTTTGGGTCAAAAAAGGGAAAAATAAGAAGATATATTTAGGTCAGCTGATAGAGATTTCCAGAACTCTCAATGATGTTCAGGAAATTATTAACAGTGTATCCTATGTGAAGTTTTGGCAAGAACTTGAGAAGGGCGAAAAGTACAGGGAGGAAAACTATATCTAATTTTTTCCAACCAAGTGAATGCATGTAATTTGAAAGAGTAAAATAAAATATTTGAATTAAAATATGAATTTGAGTAAAAAGAAGGCAAGGACATTGGAGATAGTTAATTCTGAGTTTGAGTCTTAGACCATCTTTATGATCTTGGGAAAACTACCATGCTATTGGATTTTGTTTATTTATTGGTATAGGGGATTGAACCCAGAGGCCTTCTACCACTGACACTCCCCCTGACCCTGGCCCTTCTCTGTATTTTATTTTGAAACAGGGTCTTGTTGTTAGTTGCTAAGGCTGGCTTTGAACTTGGATCCTTCTACCTCAGCCTCCCAAATTGCTGGGATTACAAGCATGTGCCACAATGCCCAGCTGCTATTGGATCCTTGATTCCAGTGGTTTGTTTTCCTCCTTGAAAGAGAATTCTATAATCTTATCTACTGACTCCCTATTTGTGGGGGGACACAGGTGCTAACACCTGACTAGTCTTGGCTGCATGACTTGCTAGAGTCAGAGGACTGTGAATGGCGAAGACTTAGGTGAGTCTGATAGAAGCTTGTAAGAGCCAGTGCATGGGGTAGCCATTGTAATTCCCTGTAGCATGCAGAGCAATCCCAAGTAGGGACTGCTTCTATAGCTTGGTTTCTGGAATAAAGTTGGAGGACCACAGCTGGCTAGTAGGCTGCCACTGACATGCCCAGTGAGGAGGAAAATCACTTCCACAGTTGAAAACTACTGTGGCTATCCCCAACCATTTTTTCCACTTTTTTTAAATTGGTGCATTATAGTTGCACCTATTTATGTGATTTGTTGTTACATATTTGTATATGCACACAATATATTTGGCCAGTATCACTCCCCAGCACTTCCCTAATCTTTTTTTTTGAACCAAAGATGGAACCCAGGGGATTTTGAGACAGGGTCTTGCTAAGTTGCTTAGGGCCTTGCTAAGTTGCTGAGGCTGGCTTTGAATTTGCAATCCTCTGGAGTCAGCCTCCTGAGTCTCTGGGATTTCAGGTGTTCGCCATGATGCCTGGCATTCCCCAACCCTTTTATTTTGAAAAAATTCAGAATAAAGTTAAAGGAGTAGTACAATTAGTACCCTTATTCAGATCACCAATCATTAACATTTTGCTACATTTGCTAAAACTCTCTTGCTCCTTCTTTTAATATACAGCTTCCAATTTTTTTGAACTATGTGAGTCAGTTATAGGCATAATGATACTTCAACCCTGAATATTTCCATATGTATCTTATAAGAACAAGGAATCTCTCCTAGATGACCACAATATTAGTATTATCATATCCAAGAAATATAACATTGATACATTACTTGATCTATATTTTGTGTTCAAAATTCTGTAACACAACAGTAACATCTGTAACATCTTAAATGTCTTTGTCTTTCTGATATGAGATCCAAGTGAGGATCTTGCACTACTATTAGCTGTATGTCCCTTTAGTCGCCTTTAATTCTGAGCAGTTCTCTGAACATTTTTTTGGTCTGTCTCTCCAGTATTTCTGGAGTCAAATCAGTTTGTAGAATATCTCACTTTCTGGGTATACCTGATTTCTTCATCTCATGATTTTTTTTTTTTTTGATTCAGGTTAAATATTTGTGGTAGGAGTGCTACATGGGTGATGTCATTTTTAAGCATGGAGGAGGCACAAATAATGTCACATTGTCTCATTTGGGGGGATGATAAGTTTAACCACTTTGTTAAGGTAGAATCCATCATAGATTTCTGTCAGTGACAAAATATTTGAGATAATCAATTTATAAGAAGGAAAGGTTTATTTTGGCTCAGGTTTCAGAGGTTTTAGACTATGATCACTTGGCCCTGTTGCTTTGGGCCTACGGTGGCCCAGTACATAATGGTTGGAGTAAGTGGCAGGGAAGGCCTATTCACTTTATGGCAGCTGGGAAGCAAAGAAATAAAGAAGGCCCAAGGTCTCAATAGCTCAAGGGCATGCCCCAATGACCTAATTTTCTCTCTTCCACTAAAGATTCACCACTTCCCAGTAGTGCCATACACTGGGGAACAAGCCTTTAACACAGGGACTTTGGGGGAACATTTAAGATCCAAACTATTATTACACACCAGATTTCTTTATTGAAAAAGTTCATTCGTCCCTCTGTGTTTAATCGGTAGTTTATGAGATGCTACTTAGAGGCTATGTGATTATCTTGATCCCCAACAAACTTGCCTCGTTTTAGTGTGCACTCATAATCCCATGCTGAATCAATTATTACACTGAACGTTGCAGAATGGTACATTTTCTCACCCTGGTATTCCTAGTATATTTAGCATCTGGCATGCTTTTCTAACAAAATATTTCCCTCCATTCCTCACTGCCATTTATCCTTGGGTTTCATTATGGGCTCGTGGAGTTTTAGTTTATAATCTGAACAGTTATAGTCCTTCAGCACAATTCTTTTTATTATTTAAAGTGTCCTAAATTTGGACAACGAGAGCTTTCTCAAGCTGGATCCTCTAGGCTTCTAACATGATTCTGCCCTTCTTGGAGTATTTCCTTGTTTTCTGGAACAACAATGTTCCAGGCTCACCTCAGATATTCACTGCCACAGACCTGATTCTTTCTCTTTGGGAGAGAGTCTGGCAAGAGGGGAACTAAGATTTGGGGAGAGGGTAGATAAAGAAGGCAAGACGATTTAGAAAAAAACTATTTTAAGGGAATTCTTAGCCAAAGATCTGCCTTGTGAACATCTCTTAGACTCTCCAAATCTGAATTCTTCTCCTGGAAAATGAGAATGATTGTGGTTATTGTTCAGGGCAGTCGTGAAAATTAATAAATGTAGCCCTATGATAGGCACATGGTCAATATTTGTTGGCAATTATCACTAGTGACATCCTTCCAACCAGGTTAATACCTGTAATAGTAGGAGCTCCAGTTACCTGTCTTCAAATGCGTTTATGATTAAACTTGCTAAAATTTATGTTCAAAGGCTTAGTTTAAATGTTGCTCTAAAATGTTCTAAGAGCAATAATATACTGTTGTTAGGTGGCATTAAATGGGTAGAGTCTCTAAAAGGCTGGTGAAACAAAAACTTGAAAGGAGTTGAAAACCGTGGTGCATACATTTAATACCAGCAGCTGGGAAGGCTGAGGCAGGAGGATGGCGAGTTCAAAGCCAGCTTCAGCAACTTATGCGAGGCCCTAAGCAACTGAACAAGACCTTGTCTCAAAATAAAAACTAAAACGGGCTGGGATTGTGGCTCAGTTGTTCAAGGGCCTCTGGGTTCAATCCCTGGTACCAAGTAAATAAATAAATAAAGTAAAACAAACAAACAGGCTTGAAATGGAATCACTGTATGTAACTAGAGAAGAACACCCCCATCTATGTGTATATATGGACACTTCGCCAACCTAATTATGATCTTAAGAGAGAGAGAGAGTCTGGTAAAATGTAGCCTTGCTCAAAAGTCACTCACTTCCATGTTTTTCATTTGAAAAGTGAAGACGCACTTTCCCCCACGCAGTTGTGGACAGTGTAAAATTTGGGCGAAGGAGACGGGACAGCTGGTGTGGCCAGGAGGAGGCGACTCAGCCGGCACTTCTACCAGGTGCCAGTCAAGGGCGAAGGGCTTGGGGGGTCGCGGGCTGAATTTATCAACCGGAGAGGCTTTGAACACCTTTGGATAAAACCATTTCCAGGCTTTACATACAGGAGGCTTGCTTCAGGCAGCCGAAGGACGTGGACACTGCCCCGGAGGTTTCCCCAGGGCATTAACTCATCCATTGGACAAATGCACCGAGCGCCAGGCTCTGCCTGGGTTTCTTGGGAGACACCAGGGGACAGGAGGCGAAAACTGCGCCCTGGGGTGCATAAACGAGTCCAGGCCGTCTGAAAAGAGCTCTGCAGATTCCAGACTTTTCTCCAAAGTCTACAGGCCGCGTTTCCAAGCCCACAGCAACAGGGCTGGTCAAAAGGAGCCACCCCTGCAAAACCGAGTGCAGCCTCGGGCCGGACGGCGGCGTCTCCGTGCCCCGCGCGGTGACCGCAGACCTGGAGCCCACAGGACCAGCCTTTCCTCAATTTTCCTCCCTAGAAAGTCCTTGCGGGACGCCTGGGTTTCGCCCAGGCAGTGCAGCCCGAACGCTCACAAGGCAAAAGGGCGCTTGGGACTCTGACCCCCCTGAAGGTGACACCAGTTCCCCGCAGATCCCAGGTCGCGGCGGACCCACAGCCTGTGGGCGGAGCGCCTCGGCTCAGGCCACGCCGCGGGAACGCCCCTGCCGAGCGTCTGGCTTTGGGTGACTAATTCTGGTGAGGCGCGAATGCGCCCCCACGTGGCGGCGCGCCGCCAGAGCGCGGGTCCCGGAACCGAACTGTCTTACGGAACCTCAGCGCGCATTCCCAGTTTCCGCGGGAGGAGGCCGGAGGCGGACCTGCGCGTCCCGGTTCCCGTACCCGCTATGGAAGTGATGGCTGCTACCGTCCGGGGACTGCGACTTTGGAGAGCCGCCTCTGGCGGCCGGACTGGTTGGAGTGAGTTTCCAAGGCCGTGGGGAAGGGGAGCAAAGCGTTGAGAGAGGTGTCTGCCCAGATGGGGCCTGAAGTGGGTGGCAGGAGATCGGAAGAGCTGAGGAAGGAGGAGGGTCTTCTGCCTCCTCCGCCCTCGCCCCAGCCTGGGAGGACAAATCTGGGGACGCGAGGGGTCCTGGAGGAGCTGGGACCCAGCCAAAGGTGGAGCCACTGATGCTTCTGATGCCTTCAGGAAGGAGCCAGCATCTGCTCTAAACGTGCTGTTATCTCCCTGTACCTCTCGTGCCAAATCCCTGATTTAGGATTTGGAAGATAAATGCAGCATTTCTTGCCCTAGACTGTTGATGGTTTGGGTATGGGACTTGCAGTCTCCTGAGCCTTCTTGTCCTCCCCAGGCCCTTCCAGGTCTTGGGCAACTTGATTCACTCTCCCGATGAGTGGTGGTGCTTGGGTTTTGCTCTATATTGTGAAGCGCAATTGGAATACTACAGAGGAAGTTGGTGGGAAACAGGGATCTGATGTGAAAGAACAGAGTTGAAGTAGAGGTGCAGCTCCACGCTAGCTGCGTTTTTGTCTCTTTGAGTTTTAACTTTTAATATTGGAAAGTGGTTTAAGTTTATTTCTGGGAGCAGTTTTGGCGAATGGCTTTCAAAGTTCTGTTGCCTCTGTATTATAGGAGGATGGTGATGCAGGAATGGAGTGGGGTTGGGTATTAGCAGTAAGTTACCCAATTTTTTTAAAGCCTTCATGTTTCATTTCTCCTTAGGATTTATAGCAACATCACCTGCAGTTCAACTGTCACCTACCGAGCTGACAGAAATGCGGAATGACCTCTTTAATAAAGAGAAAAAGAGACAGTTATCACTGACTCCTCGAACTGAGAAGATTGAAGTTAAACATGTTGGAAAAACTGATTCCGGCACAGTTTTTGTGATGAATAAAAACATTTCAACTCCTTACAGTTGTGCCATGCGTAAGTAACAGAATCAGGATACAGTCCTGACCATTTTATATGAGCCCTGCTGAAGAACTGATGCAGAGGAGACGACATGTTGTAATTGCTTTCCCAGCTTCTCAGAAGTTCTCCTTTACCTGGCACCTTATTGTCTGTTTACTGCCCCTTTAGCTCTGGAGGCTGCTATGTGTATTTCAGGGTTGGTGCTGTAGTACACAGTTGTCCTGTAGCTTGCTTGAATCTGGCTGTGTTTAGGAAAATAATTTTTTTTTTTTCTGGCAAAAGAAGTCCAGACCTGAATGCATTGTCACTGGTGGGCTTGTCTTTTTTGATTGTGGTAGGAATAGTCATCATGCATGCCTTATTGAAGGATTTTGGGATAAAGGAACAGCCATGACCTCAGATGTCCAGCTTTGTTTGCCATCTTTTCCTTTCTAAGTTCTTCAAGCCTAACATTTTTTTTTTTATCTGCTTGCCACATGCCTCTTTGTGTGCTGTGTTTTTGTTTGCATTTATGTGTATGTGTAGTAAATATATAATTGGAAGTGTGCATGGGTTGAATGTGATGGGAGTAAAAATATTTGTTTTGTTCAAATCTTTTTTTTTTAATATTTTTTAAGTTGTAGATGGACACAATATCTTTATTTATTTTTATGTGGTGCTGAGGATTGAACCCAGTGTCTCACACGTGCAAGGCACATGCTCTACCACTGAGCCACAACCCTAATCCCTTGTTTAAATCTTAACAGAGATAATTGGGCCCCATGTATGGTTTGGTGTGGAAATAAAGGGAAAAAGCCTCTAAGTATTCATTTGATGAATCAAAACGTTTGGATAGAGTTTTGATAGAAATTATATATTTTTTTTGGTATCAGGGATTCAACCCAGGTGTGCCTAACCACTGAGCCACATACCCAGATCTTTCTAATATTATATTTAGAGATGGTGTCTTGCTGAATTGCTTAGATCCTCACTAAGTTGCTGGGGCTGGCTTTGAACTGATGATCCTCCTGCCTCAGCCTCCCCAATTGCTGGGATTATAGGCGTGCACCACCATGCCCAGAAAATGCTAGTATTTAAATTTAGCTCCCCAAATAGATATACACGGGTATGACCAGCTGCATTGTTTAAACTTTTGGAAAACTCAGCAATGATTCCATTTAAGTAATTAATTTTAGCATTCCCCCAACTCTCCCCCATACACTTGAATTAGTACTTATGCTAATTATTATCATAAATAATACTATGTTAAGTATTTCTTGGACCTCTGTTATATCTATCATGGGTATTAGGAGAATAATGCCCTTATGGACTTTTATATGTATCCTGTGTAGAGATGAAGTCTCTGAGCCACCCTCAACATCACCTCTAAAACTTGTCATTTAATAAACATTTATTTAGCAACTGCTATATTCTAGGACTAGTGCTGAGTATGTTGATGAATGATAGATATGATCTTGCTTTTTTGGAACTTAATATAGTGACTAATAATTTGGACCTCATAGTTTGACCATTTTTGTGAGTATCTATATTCTTGAAACTTTTGATCAGTTGTATTCTGGGTCAAAGAGTAAGCCTGAGCTCACTGGTTCATATGTGAATTTGTATTCATAATTAAAAAATGGTAACCACAGTATTTAACTTAGCAGTCCATGTTATAGAAATAAAAGGTGGTTTGGGGACAAAATCTAAAAACAATCTAGAGGAGATTTATATGGGTGTATATTAACATATTTACCCTCTTCTTTTAAGTTGTGTGTGCATTTATCATAAGTATATCCATGCTGTCGCTTGCTGAATATTTAAATGTAGCCCTTACAAGATTTTTTTTATTAATAATTGACATATTAATTTCAAACTAGACTTAGCTTTAATGATTTTTAAAAATGGTTTGGATGATTTCATTAATAATGAACACTATCTGAAGTGTACAGAGTACTTTTTAATCAGTTATGGATATAATATGTAATACTTATGCAAAAAAAACCCCACAGAATTTTGCCTTTCCATTGTTTTATTTCCTAATATAGCCCTTATATCTGTAACTTTTCACTTGGATTTTGTTAGATTTAGATCATCAATCAGTTTTAAATTCCTAGATTTGAGTGAGTGGTACTGCAGGAAGTCCATTCTGGCTCTTGTGGACGGACAGCCTTGGGAAATGTATAAGCCTTTGACCAAGTCCTGTGAAATTAAATTTCTTACTTTCAAAGATCGTGATCCAAGAGAAGTAAATAAGGTATTTCTGTCTCCATGTTCCCCCCTCCCATTTTTTCCTTTTGTTAAATTTTTGTGGAATATAAAAAGTAGGAATATGCCCAATATTTATGTTATATTGTAATATATGTTACAATATGTTATACTGTATTAGTTAATAGGTATTTTACTTGTTATATTAGGTATTTTAATAGTTCAAAAAGTATCTGTAGCATTTATTTTTCTGTATTTTGTATTGAGAAAACTATATGACATGTCTTACATTCATGACCTAATTCAGCTTATGTTCATTGATAAATACTCTATATTGCTGGTGATTCCATTCCCACTACTCCTGCTTGAATTCAACCTTGGATCATCTTTTCAAGATGATTTCAATAAATTCTTCACTCTTTTCCATTTTGATTTTAGTAATTAAATGTCTTCTTTCACCATCTGCTTATAGAGTTTTATTATTAAGTGACTTGACTAAGGGTCATATCACTTACCCCTAAAGAAATGCCTACCTGATATTTTGCAAATAACTTTCCAGGTCCTGTGTAATCTGCCCCCAGCCTACCTTTCCAGCTTCATCTCTCACTGCATCTTTTCACTTTATCTTTGCTCTGGCCATACTAGAGTACTTGGTCATTAATAGTTTAAGTTGTGTTGTCCTCCTTCCTTTTGTTGATGATCTTTCTTCAATATGGAACATTTTCTTTTCCCTATTAAGATTCTGTTTATGTTTTATGGTTGCATTAAAGTGCCATCTGCCCTGTGGACTCTGCTAGGGTTTTACTTGTCAAAATTCTTTAGAATCTGACAACATTTGGCTATTGTTTCTGAAACCAGTATTTTAATTTTGTCTTATAAATTGATGAAGGCATTAGATTCCTAACCTTGTGAAGATAGGAACTGTTTTCTTATTGGATCTAGTCCTTGACTGCATATAGTAGGTGTTCATAAATATTTGTTTAAACATTTAAACAAGAAAGTGATAGAAATGATAATAGTAATAGCATTGAGTATTATGTGTCAGGCACTGTTCTAGGTGATTTACAGGTATTAACTTATTAAATCTTTATAAAAACTCTCTAGACTCAATGCTGCTCTCACCATTTTCCTGATGAATAAACTGACGAAGAGATGTTCCACAACATGACCAAGGTTACTAGTCTAGGAAGTGGTAGAGCCAGGATTTGAACCTAGACGTTCTCACTGAAGTTCAACTGACATTTAAATCACTGAAGTAGAATAAATGAAGAACATTTTGCAACTTGCCTTTAATGTTTGGGTTTGTTACTTATTTTTAGTGTAATGTGATTGTATAGAACATATAACGAGGGCTGGGGCTATAGCTCAGTAGCAGAGCACTTGCCTAGCATGTGCAAGGCACTGGGTTCAAGCTTTATCACCATATACAAATAAAAAAAGGTATTCTGTTTATCTACAACTACAAAAAATTTAAGCAAAACAAAATTATTAAAAAAAATATACAATAAAGCAGTCTCTGTCAACACAACCAAGTGACCTCACTCTTGTGATCCTTAGAAGTAGAGAAGAGCTTACAGAAGTTGTATGCTTTATAAAAGTAGTGGTGGTAAGGGGAATAAGATGGTTAGGTATGGTGCAGGATGTTTGTTTCTTCTTTTATTCAGATATGGCCATTGCATGGATACTGTATCAGGTATATCCATGTATCCCAGTGTCCTGGTAAAATGAAAACCCAGTTTGTGGTGAGGCTGTTTCACCCTAAATATGAATAACTTGAGTGATGTATTACATGATGTTAGTTAGGTTAAAGTCCTAAATAATTATCAAAAGTTGAGTTTTTCTCACCATGTTTATAATGGTATCACCAGTTATATATTAATATATTTATTTTACTTTAGCATAGTTTGTTAAGAATTGAACTTTATTCTGTGGTAAAAATAGTGTCAGATATTAAACCTATTGGCTGGTAACTAGTACAGCATTTG